CATGCAATACTATGAGAAAATGACGGATGGTACTGGGAAACTATGGGGGGGAGGGGGATGGGATTAACAGTAGCAAAATATCTGTCGGGGGATGGGAAAACACTTCTTATCTACAGGGTGCCTGAATGAAACGTCATTGTACACCTAACCCTTAACTGTACCCCACAAAACTATAATAAAAAATACTGATTAATGAAAAAAAAATAATAATCCCATAACTTCGTTCCTTTTTCTTTCATGGGGCATTGTATGTTCACTATTTCATTAATTTTCACCAAAACTAATAAATAAAACATGACAAAAACACTGTCATCCATTTCACAGATGAAGACACTGAAGTTCAATCTTTCTTGGTTCAAGCACCCTTGCTTTTCTTTCACTGGAGCCACCTTTTCCCCAACTTCTGGGCGGTTTGAAGGAGGAGGACAGAAAGGATTTCATCATCTCCTCTCCAAAATCTCTCGCCTTCTCCAACCCACAAACAAGTCTGAGACAAGAAGGGTAACCTATAGTCTCATACAGTTTTTAGAAAAATTTGGAGCCTGGTGCCCAAGTCCCTGTGCCCTCAGTGAATGAATGATCAATGAAATTCTGCAGAGGGCAAGAGGAAAAGGCATCCACCATTTGGTCAGAAGACTCAGTTCCTACAGAAATAGTAATCGCTATGTGTACAGAAAAAAGCTCCTTTCACATCTCTGATTTCACCCTTATCCTCACAACAACTTTCTCTGTAATGGTGTCGTTTGTCTGTAGATGCAGAAATCAGGACTCAAAGAAGTGTCTTGTAGAATATCACCCAGTGAGGAACAAGCAAGCCAGAATTAAGCCCTCCTTTCTGATACTGTTTCCACTGTGTTGTGCTTAGGAAATCTGATATAAGAATCAAATTCTTGACCAGACCTTCTCAACTCCTCCTAAGAGAAGCCTCCCAGAGTTGGAGCTAGGAACAGCCTCTAATTGAGGCTGCCTAGGTGAAGGCCCTGAGCCAAGGACCAGAGAAAAGCCTAACCATCCCTCTTAGGACTCTTCTTATTTGTGAATACCTTTCCCATACCTCTTGAATTCCCCTTGCTAAACCGTTCAAGAGTTCTCATTAACCTGCACTGAACCTGTTTGACTTTTTTCTATAGCACCACTTTAGGATAATTTTCTCTATATGAATGCTTTGCTCAGTTAAAGCCTCTGGCTTTTTGTTTCTCTTAAGGCTGTTCCTTCTAAGTCTGATACATGCTACAACATGGATGAATCTTGAAAACATTCAACGTTGTATAAGGTACTAGAACAGGCAAATTCATAGTTCAGTAGTGATGACCAGGGGCTAAGGGAGGGGGAGTAATGGGGAGTTAAATTATTTAATGAATATGGAGTTTCTGCTTGGGATGATAAAAAAAAAAAAGATCTGGAAAAAGATAGTAGTGATGGTTGCACAACATGAAAGTATTTAATTCCACTCAAATGATCTGAATAGACATTCCTTAAATGAAGGAATACATACACGGGAGGTCAGGGTGGGAGAATTGTTTAAGCCCAAGAATTCAAACCCAGCCTAGGCAACATAGCACCATCTTGTCACAAAAGAAGGGCGGTGTAGGGGGGAGGGCGGAGAGAGAGAAAGAGAAAGGAAGGCATGCAAATGGCCCACAGGCATATGAAAAAATGCTCAACATTACTGATCATCAGGAAAATGCAAATTAAAACCATAATGAGATATAATCTGACTCCAGTTAAAATGCTATCATCAAAAATAATAATAATAACAGATGCCAATGAGGATGCAGAGAAAGGGGAAGGCTAGTGGGAATTATATTAGCATAATCACTATGGAGGTTCCTCAGAAAACTAAAGATAGGTCTACCACATGATCCAGTGACCCCGCTACTAGGTAAATATTTAAAAAAAAAAAAAAAAAGGAAATGGATATATCAAAGAGGCATCTGCACACTCATGTTTATCGCAGTTTTATTCACAATAACCAAAATATGGAATCAACCTAAGTGTACATCATTGGATAAAGGGGGAAAGAAAATGTGGTCTATATATACAATGGAATACTATTCAGCCATTAAAAAAAAGAAGGAAACCCTGTCATTTGCAGCGACATGGATGAAACTGGAGGCCATTATGTTAAGTAAAATAAGACGGGGGATCCTGACGGCGGCTCCCTCCCCTCCCCGGCGAG